AAAATATATATATTTAATGATTAAAATAACAAATACTTAATTAATAAAAATACAATATTGTTTTTTTTTTTTTTGTATAGCTTTTCTTTGAGTTTTATGCATACAAGAATCCAATTTCCAGTTCGCTCTTCATTAGTGAAAATAACAAACAAATCACAAAGCTAAACACTTCAAAAATTAAGCTCCAGAAAGAAAATTCACGTGAAAGAAATTCGTGGGACGCGTTCCACCATTTAAGATTTTATCAGACTAAAGTGATGGTTACGTTGATGTGATTACACACGTCCATGAAAGAGGAGGAACGCTGAATTTTGAAAAATGTTAATCTTCGAATTTTTAAAATACGTGTTTGGATGTATCATATCGCCAATGTCATTTCGTTTTTTTTGTTTTTATTTAATAACCCACATTGTGATAATAGATAGATACATATTTTCGTATATAAACATTTATATATTCATTTCCTTCCATATTATATATATATATATATATATATATATATATATATATATATATATATATGTGTGTGTGTGTGTGTGTGTGTGTGTGTGTGTGTGTGTGTGTGAAAATATATAGAAAATAGGAAGGAACTGGTTAGGTAAATAATCCAAAGTCCCTTAGTATTCTAGTTATTTTTTTTTAAAAATAGGGCTCGATACAAAAGTAGAGCATAAATATATTTATTTATTTAAAAATATGATTCCAAAACGCGACATAAGAGGTCTCATGCTTCAAAACAAGAGCCGAAAACTTCAATATAATTATTTAAATTAAATTGAGTTAAAGTAAGCCCTGTTCCATAAAATTTCGCTTGAAGATGGAACAGAGCTTACTTTAACTCAATTTAATTTAAATAATTATAGTGAAGTTTTCGGCTCTTGTTTTGAAATTTGAGACTTCTTATGTCGCGTTTTGGAATCATATTTTTAAATAAATAATTAGATAGATAGATATTGGAGAATTAAAAAAACGAAGTTAATCTTTCAATATATATCAAAAGAGCATAGACAGAAGTACACACAATCAGTTTCCTAATTTTTCAATCACATATCGGGACGCTCGATAAGAATAATTGCATGGATCTAAGAAAATCAATTTTATAAGCACATTTATTCGCTCAACTTCAAATTTAATTTCCAAAGTTAAACTGCGAATTTCACTGGTTCCTCAGAGCTCATCAAAAGCCAAATATTTATTTTGAATTTGTTACTCGAAATTAAAATTACATTTTTGAATAGTTAATTAAGTAAGCTCACCGCAATAACCAATCACCTCTTTGTTGTTTTATGCAAGCGGCTGATAAAATGCGTCACAATGAACAGTTAGAAATGTTAGGTAAGCTTGATTTATTTTTTAAGGATATTAGAACAATCCATCACATATACTGGGAGCAATCCAGCTCTATACGGATAGAAAATGATATTTTAAGCAAGGTGGGAATGCCACTAGTACGTAGCGGGTAACAGAGAGTGAAGGTTAGTATTGAGGCTTGATGAAAGAACAAGAAATGAACGGGATTCAAGAAGATAGAAGATGGCGATTGACGTTGAATTTAAATTTTTAAAAGTTGTAGTTATCAGGAGAGCAATGTTCCACAGGCGGGAGTGCGAGAAAAGAATCTGTTGGAGTAGAAGTAGTGGTCGCATTTAATTTTTCCAACAGCAAACTGGTGAGACCTAGATGACAATATAGAGTACGCTTAAATTCTTGTAGTCGAGGCACCAGGAAAAAAAAGCTCGTCAGAGCAGCTGCCATGAAAATATTTGTAGAAAAGACTGAGGGAAGCCACGCCATGTCGTTGGGAAAGTGACTGAAGTCGAGATGCCAAGTCAAGATCGGTTACATTGCAGATCTTTCTTTGGATTTTTTTTTTCAATAACCTGGAAATGAATAGCAGGAGAATCAGACCAGATATGGCAAGAGTATCCACGGGTGAATGGTAGATTTGTAAATGTGAAAATTGGACTCTGACGAGTAATATTTTCTGCCATGAGACGGAGTAAATGCAGCTATTAATTCAATATAGTCACTCCACTTCAAAGTGAGGCCAAGAAAGCAAACTGTGTTGCTCTCCAGGAGTCTAACGTCAGCCATTCATATTGAAGACAGAAAACTTTCCCTATGGTGGTAACATGAAAGTAGTTTTGTTATAGAGGTGTTTGCAAGTCATTCCCTGTCCCATTTAACCACTGATTGGCGTTTCTTTTCAAGAACAGCAGCTAGGCTTAACTTGTTAGCTCTGACGAATTTGCTATCGAGACAGGAGTAAATGGTAGTGCCATCTGTTTAAATGTCTATTTGGCAACTGATTGTGGAAACATACAAAAAATTGAAGAGGCATAAGACAATGATATCTCTACTCACTGGACTTATTCAACATTCAAAGTGAAACAACCCTGACTCCAACTTAGATTCATCATTAGTAACCACAATATTAACAACATTAGATATGCAGATGACCCAGTGTTTAATAGCAGACATAGAAAGGAAGCTACAGGAATTCTTACAGAAAGTAGTGAAGGTGACAATTCTATCATAAAGATGTTTTCTCACCAGATTTATTCAACATTTATAGTAAAGCAATCCTGAGAGAATTAGAAGTCCTACAGGATTCATTATTAGTGGTCACAATAATAATAGGATTTATTATTGGTGGTCACAATATTAATAACATAAGATATGCAGATGTCCCTGTGTTTAATAGCAGACATAGAAAGGAAACTACAGGAATTCTTACAGAAGGTAGAAAAGAAAAGGGTGAAGAAACTAATAAATATCAATTATGTAAATGGCGAAGCCACAAGAATCCAAAGACCTCAGCCAAAATGGCGGCTAACTAATCCCCACTACAGACGCCTACTCAGGCACATGCGTGCTTGTTCAACACCCACAGAGCCCACCCGATTGTTTATATTGCAACTATACTGAGCGGAGGTTAGTTAGAGCCTCTAATGGAAAGCGCTTTATCCAGCGTGATCAACAGTCTGAACAAGGCTAGCACGCCCAAACCCTCGGTCATGATGACTTGTGACTTCGTGCTAGAACAACCATCGACGGCTCCAAAGACTCTCATCTACTTGCTTCAATCGTGGTTTGGTTTTCAGGAACTTTGTAATCTCCACCTCCAGACCGATTAGTCACCTTATTGGCAAATCGACGTGAGATTCGAACCTGGGTCTCAAGATCATAAAACGAACCTTCGAACCACTCGACCACGTGCCCATTAATATCAGTTATAAGAAGACAGAATATATGGTTGTACGCAAAAGGAGTAGACCTATACATGAATTATAAATTGAAGGCTATGACATCAGTCAGGTATCAACCTTAAATTATTTAAAATGTTTTTAATAGAGGATGAAAAATGCGATAACGAAAACTAAAAGCGGTTTGGGTTAGCGACGGATTCCATCCAAAAGCTAATCAAAGTATTAAGAAAGAAGGAAAAATTGTTAGCAACAAAGAAGAGATTATGTAATATCGGTTTTTCTTATCACAGATGAAAACGAAACTTGATACAACAGACATGTGGTTCTTCAGACGTATACCAAGAACGCCATGAATGGAATATGTGTACAACTTCTTATGTGCCATCTTCTTTCAGGACGTAGGCGATCATGGCTCTCCACCTCCTTCTATCCCTTTCAGCTCTCAACAAGTTCCTTCCCACTGCTTCCTCTCCCAAACCACGTTCTGTCATCCACTTGCTTAAGTCTTCCAGCTATGTCACGCGTTTTTTTCCCTTGTCTCGCTTTCCTTCTATTCAACCCGTGAGTATCAGATTCTTCAGACCTCTTTCCTCATTATGCGACCCAGAAATTTCAGCTGCCTCTTCCTGATATTAAGTATAAGCCCCCTCTTTGTTTGCAACCTCTCTAATACCTCATCTTTGCTCACACGCTCGATCCATGATATCCTAAGCATCCTTCTGTAGAACTACATCTCCTTCGCCTCGAGTCTCTTCCTCATCTTTGAGGAGACCATCTAACATTCACTGTCGTAAAGAAGAACAGATCTCATGTAACAACTCAGTATTATTTTCTTTGTTACCAAAGAAATCCTCCTGTCCCGCAATACTCTGTCCAGCTTTTGGAATGCGTTCTTGGCCATCCCAATACTTCTACGGATCTCAGTGTCGCACTTACCGTCCTCTGTCAAGACGCTTCCCAGGTATTTAAACTTCCGCGTCTGCTTGAATCTAGTGTTTCCGACCTTCAAATCGCATTCTGGGCTCTTCCTCTTACTGATGACCATGCATTCTGTCTTTTTGTAGTTTATGCTTAGTCCTTTTTTCTTACTCTCCATCGCTACCTTCTGTAGAAGATTTTGTGATTTCTTTTCCGTGTCTACTATCAGTACTGTGTCATCTGCGTATCTTATATTAAGCCACCAATTCTAAATCCCGGTAGGCTTTTCAGTTCTCTCAGAATTGCCTCGCTGTATAGGTTGAACATTCGGGTGAGACGACGCATCCTTGCCTTACGACCTCTTCTATTTTTTGTATATTTACTTAAATCGTTACGGATATAAAATGATGAGACATAGCTGTCAGTCTAGTATTGCTGTTAAAATCGTAAACCAAACACTCAAATATACACATGGCTAACACTAAAAAATATATTCGGAGTCATCTACGATATGCACAGATACTCTTGTATGACATATGAATAAAGGCTATGGACATTCTCTCTTCCAAGTCATAGGCTCCTGTGGTTCAGTAAATAAATAAATGATATATCGAAGGACACCAATGACATGCTCAATATTGCACTCAGCTTTTAATCAACACGGCTTTGATCAGCGTCATTTCCAGCTGAATTCATTTTCATTCATCCATATTTTGAATCGAAGGGTAGTCATTTAGAACTAGCTCGCCTCAACGCACCTGCATATGCTCCAATCAAGGAATCAATTCATAAGTGCTTAAAATATGTTATCGCTTAATTCATATCTTCCATACTGACTTCTGCAAAATATATTTCCCCCACCAGCCTTTTGATATGAATAACTCCCTCTTAATATCTATCTATCTATCTATCTATCTATCTATCTATCTATCTATCTATCTATGTACGTGTATGTATGTGTGTGTGTATATATATATATATATATATATATATATATATATATATGTTGCTTTGACCGAAAAGTTTGTTGGATTTATTAAGTAAATTAGTATTTGTAATTAATAATCAAACGAACTTTTTGACTAGCGCAAAATATATACATATTTTTTTTTATTTTTGTTTTTAATCATTTCACCCCAGATAAGGTAGGAATGACACTAGTTCAAAGTGGGTTACTGGGAGGGAAATTGAAAAAGAAGACGGAGAATAGGGAGGCATGAGGAAAGGAAAAAGATGAACGAGCTTCAAGAAGACAAAAGATGGCGATTGGCGTTGCATTCAAATTCTTGAAGATAGTAGTTATCAGGGAAGCAAGGAAACGGGAGTTCCACAGCTGAGAGGTGCGAGAAAAGAAACTGCTGGAGTAGAAGTAGCGGTTGCCTTTAGCTATTTCAAAAGTTAAACTAGATGCCAATCTAGTATCACGCTTTAATCGAAGCACCAAAGGAAAAAGCTCATCCGAGCAGTTACTATGTAAATATTTGTAGAAAATACCTGAAGTTGAGTTGACAGGTCAGAATCGCTTACATTTACAGATAGTTCTTTTATTTTGTCAAGAATATCGAGATGTACAGCCGGAACACTTTATTCAATACACGGACGAGTGGTAAATTTTGTAAATATGCACGATAGATTTTGAGGAATTTTTTTTTTATCGCACAACACGGTGACCCAAATTTTACTTGCAGTAGATGCAGCTATTGATATGTTATAATCGTTCCACTTCATATCAGTGAAAATCGTGATTCCAAGAAGGCATTCTCTGTTGCTTTAGCGTCTGGCGTCTAGCTTCATCCATGCTGATGGCAAGCAGAAAAAGATAAAAAAAGAGAAAAAGAGGGAGATTGCATCTCCTTACACCTGACATTTTGGTATTGTGACGGTTGAAAAACAAAGCTTGGTGCCTTAGCGAAATACTGCCGGGTGGCGGTAGCGTTAGTGGTCATCACGCTGTTGTCCAAGGTGTATGCCTGAGTCCAGGGTCTTATTCTAACTTGCCTTTTGCTGGTTGTTTTTTTAGTGTTATTCCAGTAATGCGTTGTACAAATTTGCATGAAATGTTGACAAAAAATAAGGAGCAACTGAGAGAGCTGTAAATAAAAAAAAAAAAAGATTGAGAAAATATTATTTACTTGGTGTTTGAATAAAAAAGAACGACATCGTTTTGGTAATTTTTTTTTTTTCTCTAGATAATATCGAACAAAATTTTGTATAATTTCGCACAAATGAAGATTTTTAAAAAAAATACCGTTTTTCTTACTTTCAGAGCAGCACCAATTTTTTTTAAAAAATGTTGCCTGGGGGAAAACATTTATGTATTAAAAAACGAATGAAAATGTAACTGAATTAGAAAATGTCGATAATAGAACTACGGATTATTTTTTTCATCTCATATTATAAACTGTAATATTATATATAGTGGTCAACATAGTTTATTCTTAATCGTTTTACGCGAAACAAGGCGTTAATGCCACTAAGACGCACGAGGTTACAGGGAGTGAAAGAAAATGAGAAGATTGTAGTGTGTCGAAACGAGGAAATTGAAATAAGTGAACAGGTTTCAAGAAGATAGAAGACGCTGCATTTTAAATTATTGGAGGTTGCAGTCGGCAGGGAAACAATGAATCGGAAGGGTGTTCAACAGGCGACTAGTGCGAGAAAAGAAACTATTAGAATAGAACTGACGGCTAAAACAGTAAAAAGGGTGAAACCTAGTTACCAATCTAATAGCGAGGCACGAAGAAAAGCAGCTTATCAGAACAATTGTCATGTAGAAAAGACAGACGGAAGCTACCTCACGTCGGTGGGAAAGTCATTATAAAATTGTGAAATCTTTCTGTTCATATGAAAATTGGGGATTCATTTTTTATGTATGTAACTGTAAAATCTGATCCCACTGTTCAAATCTTACCGCCTGTATTATGCAGTTGTATTCTTTTATTTAAAAAAAAAAACTGTATATTGTAAATTTGAACGAAATCGAAATTCGTGCACACAAACTTATCAAACTATACAGCATTAATTTTTTTTTTATTTTTTAGCTTCAAATAATAAATTTTGACAAGTTTTATAAATAGTGGTACTAACAGACAAATAAAATTCGGAACAAAACTATGGATTTAAACATTAAATCATTAAATATTAACGAAAAAAATAATGGTAATCGTGTTGGCTTAAATAAAACTAAATAGTTGAACTCAATATATATTAAATGGGGAAACATAAACCCTTCTTCAAATTTCTATAAATAATTTAGGTTATTTTTTTTTTTTACAGCGGTGTTCACTCTATACAAGGCCCCAGAGCCACTATGGTTTACAGAATAAAGGGGCACAACTTATTCAGATATGTGTGGAAGATAACAGTTAGACGTAGATTTGAATAGGTTAAAATTGTAGTGATCTAGGAAGCAATGTCTGGGAATCAGTTCCACACGGCAGAGGTTTGTGGGAGAAAGAGGCCATGTGTGGAAATTACATCTCATCAGGAAAATAACTAAGGTGGTTTGCTGCAATCTGTGTGGCATGGCGGGTCTTAGACCTGAACGGCAGAACTGGTGAAATGTAGTTCATCTGAAGACTCTCCCTGGAAGTAGCGAGAGGCTTGTGACTTTTCGTCTGAGAGAAATGGAGCTGTGGAGTGGAAAATAATGCTTTGCCTAGAAGGACGCGGAGACGCTTTTCAGTACTATCGCGAATTGAAAATGGAGATTGAACTGCTCCTGCCAATATATGACAGCATTATCCCAGTTTCCACCTGATCCGACGTTTTACTTTTTGTCACGTATGTTTCTATCTCCGAGAACAAGGGGCTAATTTCTCCTGCTATGATAGGAGTGAATGCTACACCATTTTGGTGACCGCACACATGTATTAGAAAAAAGAAACCTATTCACCCATAAAGCTAACACCTTGAAGAAACGGAACTGCGGCCTGATATATATATATATATATATATATATATATATATATATATATATTTACAAATTCATGAATTATTCACACAAAAACAAATGCAAAGGTTAATGATTTAATTGGCGAGAAATCCATCGTCGCAAACAATTCAAATAATATACAAAAACCTCCGAATCCGTTATGAATGAAAAGATCCTTGTTTCTATAAATTTCTGCCGCATTAGTTCTTATTTTTACTGTAATTATTGAACAATATAGTTCATGCCACTTTGACAGAAAATTTACCAGTAAAAAATTCGTTTATCACCATATTTGTACATGAACGCACAACTGTAAAAAAATTAAAATCAAACTCAGCGTTGCTACTGCATGCTCCAAAAACAATAACTCATTTCCAATAGCATTTTCGGATACAACAATACATATATTTTCGTTGTCCTCTTATTACTGAGAGAAAAAACAAGAACAACATCTATTCCATACCTGAAGATGTCTGTAGGAACAGACAAAAGCTTGTAGTAAAAATAAGAACTAATGCGGCAGAAATTTATAGAAACAAAGATCTTTTCATTCATAACGGATTCGGAGGTTTTTGTATATTATTTGAATTGTTTGCGACGATGGATTTCTCGACAATTAAATCATTAACCTTTGCATTTGTTTTTGTGTGAATAATTCATGAATTTGTAAATTGATTGCACGTTTATCGAAATATATATATATATATATATATATATTGTATATACATGCATATATGATAATATATACGGTATGCTGTATATATACAGTACAGTATGTATTTATTTATCCCATATATATATATATATATATATATATATATATATATATATATATATATATGTTTATAGTATTTACATTATGATCATAACTACTGGTCGTTACTATAGTGGTTTTATAACTCAAAATTATCTCTTCCCATCTACGTACAATCGGATTTAACGGACTCTTCCAGTAATAGTTCGTTGATGTGTGGTTAGTCTCTTTATGTCTGTCACTCTCTGTCTCTCTGTCTGTCTGTCTGTCTCTCTCTCTCTCTCTCTCTATATATATATATATATATATATATATATATATAGGAAAGAACACGTTAGGTTAATAATCCACAGTCCTTTTTAGTATTTTTGTTTTTATTTAAAAGAAAACAGTGCTCAATATATAACTTGAGCCTATTTATTATATATATATATATATATATATATATATATATATATATATATATATATATATATGAATAACGGCAAACGGAAACATTTCTTTAGTAACGAGTTTTGTCCAAGGGGGAAATGTATAGGCAAAGAAACATTTTATTTTTGTCTTTATTCATATTTCGTATCACTTTGCTTTCTCTTTAAAATGCAATGTAGGTGAATAATCTTCTATGAAAATATAAACAGCAACAGACTGTTCTGAACAACGAGCTATCAGGTGCTCCCCACAGATCCTTAAAACACCTGTAAATTATTCTAATCAGAAGAGAGATAAATACCTTCTGCATCTTTACAAAGAATTAAATGCTTGCACTTTGTACGCATGACTTAATTACCCATTATTTTTAAACTGTCACTAAATGTCACATTTTGAACTGGAAAGTGCTACATTCAATAAAATTCATCGAAAACAAGAGAAAATCAAAGAGATTCTAAAAGTTTGTTAACACAAATACAAATTCCGATGTAATGTTTAGCCGTTTCCTTTCACCATTTTCCCTCTTCCCTTTATGCATCACAGACATTTCATTTTATAGGCAGCTATCTCCTTAAACGATAATTTTGACAGCTTTTCATCTCCTGGAAAGCTATTTCGCCCGGTCGGATGCACCGAAAATTTAATTTTGCCGATATTTCTCAATATATAGATATATAATGTTATATTAAACGAAAAAGTTGATTTACAAAGGCTATAAATGTTGTCTTTTTTTATTAAATATATATATATATATATATATATATATATATATATATATATATATATATATATATAAGCGTTTCACCCCAAGCAAGGCGAGAAGCTACCA